TATGCTGTAGTCGGCAATCTTCCGTTTTGGTATAGAGTGGGACAGGGAGGGGGTGATGCTACTGTAGTCGAACGGTGGGACGGACGTGCAGTTCAGTTTTTGGGCACGCATACGGTGCTGCAGGGATTTTTAGGTGTACCTCTTCGGGTTCTTGGATACCTTATTCTCGTTATCTGTGTGCGTGTTCTGTAGATCCTCAGATGGCTCTAGCGCTTTCGTGACCACAGGCTGAGAGTCTTTGCTAGACGGGGTTGGTGGATATCACCCCGTAGGTGTGCTGGTAAGGCGACACCGGTGGTGTCGTGCGCGGTGCCGTTGGGTGGGGCGGCAGCGGCTCCTACAATTAGCTGCAAGACGTCCGTGGGGGCTTCCGCATCATTTGTCGCGGTGATGCATGAAACTGGGCCACGCCATGCCACGCAACTTCGGGACGGGCACACCGTGACCTGTGTGCCAATCAATAGGTGCACCAGCGTGTGGCATTTCATAGGAATTGTGGGACCGTCATTAGTACACATTCGGCGAAACGACTTACTTGTGGACTAGGCGAGGAGGCCCGACAGTTGTAGACGGGTGATAAGGAACGGATCGTTAACTCGGGGCAAGGCGAGGCCAAGAGCAGAGGCAGCAAAGGTCCAAGAAAGGACAAAGCAAAAGAGAGACAGATGAAATTAAAGAGGGAAGGCCAAGAACCCGTACGCGCTTCAAAAGACCGCGTTAACGTTCATGCAAGGGAGACCACAACCAAGCCTGAGCACGGTAGCCCAGAAATCGGGACGCCGAGGCCTCCATAACGCAAATCCGACATATCAATCAGACCTCCAACATTTGGCCGCCGCCAGGGGGAAAATCATCGTCCTCCTCATCATACCCCGGGGGGTAGCGGGTGACGGTGTGAGGCTCCTCAACAACGTGTTCCTCGTCCTCAGAGTCATCCGTGTCGGAGGGCGGCTGGGAGTTGTTTTCCCCTTGGGATCGCTTAAGGTCGCTAAGCGACCTGATAGCGGCCCGGACGATGCTCTCGCGTTTCTGCTTATACTCGATTTGCCGCCGCTCACGTCTGCTACGCGGCGGGCTAACGTGGTACTGCTTAGGTTGACGCCCCCGTTCAGTTACGACGCCGGGGTACGCTCATGTTTTCGGCGTGTGATAGTCGGAATAATGGCAACTGCAGGCTTGCTACCCAGATATATGGTCATGGTGAATTGGGGTTGGCCAGAGGATCCCCAACGAACGGCGATCATCAGACGATTGAGGCAACCCCGCTCCGTGGGCTCGAGCGTTTACGCGCGATTCCTCGTCAGTTTTTTTTGTGTTTCCGGGCGCGGCGGCGTGGCATGGTCTCGTGGTGTCGCCAGGCCTGTGCGGGTTATGATAAACAGAGCGGGTGCACATAGACGTCGGAGGGATGTGTGGCGGGCGTGTACAGCACTGTACAGGCAGATGATGATGAATCCATAGACGCGTGGTACACGAACCAAAGTCAGTCCCCCCATGTTTACATCCATTCCCAACGCACACATGCTCACCTTTTATACTACTATACTTACCCTTTCTTGCTCTCGGTTTCCCCTACTCACCGTACAGAGTGTAGATCTGGGACATCGGTACACCACATGGTGCAACCACCGATTGTTCCAGGTTGATCATGAACCGGGAGAAGAAGGGGAGAAAGGCACAAAAGCTTGGCATTCACAAACTAGCGCGTTTTCTGCTCCCACGCACCAATTGAGTCGGTGCGTCGTTATTCTACAACACACTGAGTCTGGATCCATGTCAGTGCCTGATGTCCCGCATGTGGTGTAACACTCGTACTTTCTGTAGGTGCACCGTATCATCGTGGTGCGTCGATGGAACGTGTTTTCTTCAGTTGTCAGCTGATATGAGATTGAGAATCGGCAGGTGAAAATGCGATCGATTGCGGTTTACACCTGCGTGTGCTCACAATGAACTGAGTACGTTTGCAGCCTGGTGGTGCTGTATCGTGTTGTTGTTGTTGTTGTTGTCTTTACATTAAACCGTATGCCGGCGGAGGGCCACTCGCATCAGCGGGTAGCACGCCTCCAGATAGCAGAGGGCCACTAGCATGAGCAGGTAGCACACCTCCAGGGGGCAGAGGGCCACTCGCATGAGCAAGTAGCACGCCTCCAGCCGGCGGAGGGCCACTTGCATCAGCGGGTAGCACGCCTCCAGGTGGCGATGCCGACGGTAGGGGCGCCTTGCGCCGGGTAGGCGCCTTTCCTTTCTTCGAGGGGGTAGCGGGTTTAGTGGATTCAGGCGGTGGTTGTGCCGCCCTGCGAGCGATCCCTCGCGTGACTCGTGGGATCACGACGAAGCATGGTTCCGCAATACCCGACTTCCCACTCGGGGCCGCCGCGGCCACCATAGCTTCTACACTTGCCCCCTCAGTCGGGTCTAACCACAAACTGGCCAGGGATAACGAAAGTACTTTCTCCATGCTGCATCGTGGGTCCGCGTTCCTGTTCACCACGCCGAGTATGCCCAGCCCGTTGACATCGGTGTCGGCGGGGTTGGCAGCCCGGACGAAGCTTCGCCCCGGTCTGGAGATGATGCGTTTACCAGCATACTCGGTGTCCTCCACTGCATGGATGATCGCGACTAAAGCATAGGATCCGCCCGCAGCTCCCGTGTCCAGCAGTACCGTGGTACGGTAGCCACGCCGTCGTTGGGCCGTGTTTCACAGGTACGCCGTCACCCATTTTTGGTGGGAGCCCTTCGACGGGTTCGCGTTGGAGGCGGGAACGGCGGCAGAGACAGCCACCCAGGTAGTCTCCTCCTCCGACTCCCACCCGCCATGAGATGGCGTGTTCCCCAGAGGGTCCCTCGGTGAGGTGCCCTCCAGCGCGCACCCTCAGGCGCTGGTGACGGGTGTGTCCTCCGCTGCGTCGTGCACATAGGGTTCCGTATACAGGACGTTTTCGTTGGAATCCTGGACGGCCACCATCGAGGTGGTCTCAACCGCAGGTGGAAAGGGGTACGCCTTGAAGGGTATGGGCGCGTCGGTGTGTCGGTAGCGGCAGTGGTGATCCTGCACCATTTGTTTGCACGCGAGTGGCTCTCCGCCGGCTGGAGGCGTGCAACCTGATCATGCGAGTGGCCCTCTGCCGTCTGGAGGTGTGCTACCTGCTCAGGCAAGTGGCCCTCCGCCGGCTGGAGGCGTGCTACTTGCTCATGCGAGTGGCCCTCTGCCCCCTGGAGGTGTGCTACCTGCTCATGCTAGTGGCCCTCTGCTATCTGGAGGCGTGCTACCCGCTGATGCGAGTGGCCCTCCGCCGGCTGGAGGCGTGCTACCCGCTCACGCGAGTGGCCCTCCGCCGGCTGGAGGCGTGCTACCTGCTCATGCGAGTGGCCCTCTGCCATCTGGAGGTGTGCTACTTGCTCAGGCAAGCGGCCCTCCACCGGCTGGAGGTGAGCTGCCCGCGTACGCGAGTGGCCCTCCGCCATCTGGAGGTGCGCCGCCCGCCCACGCGAGTAACCCTCCACCACCATCACCGTCACTGCCGTCGACGCTGGACCAAGCCAGCAAACACTCCACGGATGATCACCTCCCGATAGACACCCCAGACCTGCGCCGAGGCCTCTCCGCCCAGCTGGCACGGATGGAGGACACCCTGCGAGACACGGCTCAGCTTGTACAAGCGCAACGTCAGGACGACTTCCTTCAACCCGTGCGGAGCGAGATGGAGGCAGGAAGGGGTGAAGATTGTGAGTACGTCCTGGCAGACGACGGCCTACTCTGGCACTCACCACGAGGCCGTACGTATGCGATTGCTGTCCCCAAACAGCTTGTATCCGCGGTGTTAGCGCTGGTTTATGGTGTGTATGGACACCCTGGCACGGCGCGTACGACACTCTTGATCGAGAGGAAGTACCATTGGCCCGCGCTCAAGAAAGACGTCCGCGCCTACGTCCTGTCCTGCAAGTGCCGTCGACGAAAACGTTCATGGAGCAAGCAGTTACTCATGATGCCACCTAGACTCCTTCAGCCCTGGGAGGTCCTGGAGATAGATATTCAGGATATGAAGGTGACATCTGACACGAACAACAGGTACCTGCTTGTCGTGGTAGATCGAGCGTCCAAGTTCCTAGCAGTTTTCCCTTAATCGTCTAAGGAAGCCATCGGTGTTAGCCGCAAACTGCTGGACCTCATACTCATGTTTGGATTGCCCCTGTCGATCCGATGTGACCCGGGGGGCGAGTTTACCGCGGAAGTCATGCAACACCTGTGCCGCTGGCTGCGAGTTTCCCTTGACTACGGCCCCCACCAACCACCCCCGCGCGCAAGGGGCGGTCGAGAGGTTGGGGGGGTGGCTCCATGAAGCCCTGGCTCAGCTATGCATCTCTTGGCCCCGACGATGGGACGACTTCGTTCCAGTGGCCACCTGGATTCACCGCGTTACGCCAGACGCGTCCCTTCCTGGAGGGACGTCTCCCTACCGAATCCTCTTCGGTCGCGAACCACGCAGCCACATCGACGCCATGACACAGGCTCTCGACGATGAGTCCTTCGGCCGCGGGCTCGAGAGAACCGCCCCTGACCAGCAGCGTTTGACACAGGAGATCCTCAGAGAGAGCCACGAAGCCCGCAATCGGAAACGACAACGTCACCACGCGAAGGTTGGGCGAGAATCCCCTGGTGCTAAAGCCGACGTTGGAAGCTTGGTACTAGTTAAGGAACCGAGCGCCACGATCCACCGCGACAGCCTTCACCCGAAGTTGGCGCACGAGCACTACACTGTGCCGTGGAAAGTTACGAATGTAATCAGGACCGCCTGAGCTTTGCTGTGCAACTTGATGGGCGACGAGTCCGTCAACGCAAAGTCACGGCTACTGACGTTAAGCCGTACCACCCACGAGATGACCACCTCCGACTCCCGTTCGAAGACGAGTACGCACACCTCGTGTGGTCGGCCGACTTGGGTCTAGCCGACACCTCCGTAGTCGCCGTTCCCTTGTACACGCTAGTGGACAGGCGGGTCGCACATGGTGCTGGAAACACTGCGGCGTGGACATGGGAGTACCAGGGTCGCTTCCAAGACGGGACGTTGTCACCCTGGATGGATGAAGACGAGGCTAGCGACAACTTCTCCCCACTGCAGCTCGACGCCTTCCATGCCCTGTATGAAGATTACCATGGGACGCCGAACCAAGACCTGCCAGCCCGCCTTCGAGGGGCGCCCGTGCGGCTGCTTCAAGGGAACATGCCCTACAACTATTCCCCGTAGGCACAACGGTGGGGAGAGAGTTTGTCGACAGCGAAGGCCAACCCAAGGTTTTCAAAGCCACCGTGTTCGACTACTGTGATCCCTACTGGCGGGTGGAGTACCCCGACGGTGATTGGGAAGAATTAACCAAGCGTGAAGTGGACGCGGGTAGTGGCGTGGCCGCCCGCCCTTATTTTCCGCTTGAATTTTGACTATGTGTGTCCTACTGCCCGGAGCCTACCGACTGTTGTCTGGCAGTCTGGGGGGGTGTTATGGCAGTGGAGGAACGCGAGAAGTATTATACGCGAATTTCATGCACCGCCGTCATCGTACCGATCGGTGGAGAATGGTACGAAGAAATTCAAGATCGCCTTCTCCACTCCGGCCCACGAGACTCAAGACCACCGTCTCCTGGTCCAAGATCGGGACCCTCCCTTCTAGATTATGCCCTTGCGGACTATCTAGGAACTGGAGGGTCGGACTCTCCCTTGTAGGTAATGTCTTTGCGAACTAACCAGGAAGGGAGGGTGACTCCCCTCTCTAGGCTACGTCTTTGCGGACTGCCTAGAGAATGGAGAGTCGAACCGTGTTTGGGTACGGATCGCCCGTCCTTTAGCATAACCGTTTACCACGGTCGATGCTGGGGGGGTGTTCCGACCGGACGTCGCAACCAGTTCTTAATACGATGCTGGATACTTCGCCATGGTCGCGAAGTATCCGGAGGGCGCGGGCTGTCATGACCGGGGATCCGAACAGACATACAATGTTCCCCCGGTCCGGCCTGTTGGGGGGGTTGAGGGCATGTGCCCTGACCCCCGGGATCGCACCGCCTCCCTCGGCGTGCTTTCCCGACCAACACCCAGGGTGTTAGTTACCACCGCCGATCACGCGAGAGAAACTGAGCCATATCCTTGCCNCTCAGGGCATGTCCCCTGAACCCCGGGATCGCACCGCCTCCCTCGGCGTGCTTTCCCGACCAACACCCAGGGTGTTAGTTACCACCGCCGATCACGCGAGAGAAACTGAGCCATATCCTTGCCCTTGTGTCTGACCAACTGCCAACCCTTGTGAGTGCTGAACCTGATACGCTGATTATGGACCTTGTGAGGAACCTTGTGACTGCTGTTGGATGTCGCCAGTCACCGCTTGAAGTCGCACCACTCCTGCTTGGTTGTCCTACATGATCGATCTCCACAGACATTGCTTTTGATCTTTGCTCAGGTGAGAGGTATTTGTCCTGATTAAAAGAAAGATATACCCTTGTTTGGAATAGTTCTCCCTGATGTGGGTAGCCGTCTCGAAGTCGAAGCGGCCGTCGCGGTCTTCGTGATGGGAGCTTTCCATGACTACGAGGCCATGAGGAAGTTCCAAGTGGCATCCTTAAAGACGAACTCGATCTGGACAACATCAACCAAATTTTTCGATGACAGCATCGATTCAAGCATGCTGTGGAAGGCTCAGTCATGTCCGAAGCCCAGTTCCATCATCCTCGACGCGAATACCTCCCGGGGGCCGAGGCTGGAGGCCGTCGGCAGAAAGTCTTGGTTGACTGTGCGGCCGTTTTCACCAAATTCCCTTTTCGTCTTTGAAGTGGTGCGCGCGACGGCGCCTTTCCCCGCCTACTAAATCGCGGATGAGGATTCACCGTTCTTCTCCATCTCCGGCGTTCCACTCGGAGAGCGAGCGGCGACGCTCGCTGTCGCGCTGTTGGTGGTACTCGTACGATTCGTCCATGCTGTTACCATCACGACCGTCGTGGCTGATGCTGGTGCATTGAGCCAGGTAGAGCAGGCTGCCTGTGATGGACGGGTACAGTTTGGTGTCTGCCTTTCCGAGTAGCTTGTCCGCTGGCTGATCAGTAGAGAGTTGCGGTCCATGTCCTGGAGTGCTGGCGGGGTTGCAGTTTTCCATGCCGAAACTTTCCAGGATAGTCTTGATGTAGTTGTTCTGCGAGACAGTGTGCCTTTCTCGTAGCTGCGCGTGACTTGCATGCCTGGAATGAGGCTGATTTCCCCCACGTCCGTCATTTCGAAGCGGTCGTGGAGTTCTTTCTTTAGGCCAGCTACGAGCTCGGGGTCCTTTCCGCTGATGAGGATGTCGTCGACGTACAGCGTGAGGATGACGAGAGTGCCGCCGCTTCCGTATATGAATACGCAGGGGTGTGTGGGCCTGAATCCGATCACCACCAGCACGTCTCCCATGGTGTCGAACCAGAGCACTGGCGACTGTGAACGCCCATAATGACTGCGTTCGAGCTTGTAGACAATGATTTCCCCAGTCGCGGGATGCTTTGTGTCCTGTCCGGGGGCGGGCTTGACCCAGACGTCTTTGTGAATTGCAGACTGCAGAAACGCCACGGCGATGTCTATCTGAAATACCGGCTATCCTTGTTCGCATGCTATAGCGAGTAAGGTGAGAACGCTCCCGATGCGGCACACCGGTGCGTAGCTCCTCCCGAAGTCGATGCCAGACTCCTGCACATGGCCTTGAACCACCAGTCTGACCTTGAATTTCCTGTCAGCTTGCTGTTTGAAGACAGACCTTGTACCTAGGATCTTGGATTCCTTGGGAACGCTGGTGATGGGGACCGACTTGTGGACCTTTTGTTTCGCCAGACGGTCCATCTCCTTTGCGATAGCTGCTTTCCACTGTGGCGCTTGTGGCGAGTTGATAGCTTCCTTGAGGTGTTCGGGATTTTGATGCGCTCCTCCTCCAAGGATCCTTGCTGCATTGGGGTGCCTGTGGCGTACACGTAAGCCCGCGATGCTGAGAGCGATTTTTCGTCCAGATGAGCAAGATCCGGAACTGCACTGGCCTGATCGTGGTAGGTCTTGTTGGCGAAGTCCAACAGCTGTTCAGATGCCAGTGCGCTGTGGTCGGGCCGCATCGCAGTAGCCGTCATGCATCCACCTCCGCTGTTGTCCATTGTGATGTCCGAAAACTAGGTGCAAAGGAGGGGTCCATTGAATCAGAGGCGTTCGGCCTCCTCCAGGTGGCGGCGCGGGTCGCTTTAAGTGGCCGCGATATCCCCTGGGCCGGCTCGGCGCGCTGCCTGGTGTTATGCTTTCTTCCTGTGGAACATCTGGGTCCTTGCCGGATGTGGCTACCTGAGCTCGGCGGGCTGGGTGGAGTGTCGTGTCCCGCGTCGATTGCCTGTCGTTGAATCTCTACCCGAATCAAGTCGTTGTGTCGCATACGGCAGATCTCTTGTCGGAGGAACTGATTCTCGGTTTCCAGGTCGACGGTGTCGAGGGTTCCCGATCCATCGAACTCGTCTTCTCTGGTGGATACCTTGCCTAGAACAGACGTGAAGTTCAGGACGTCGCTTTCGTAGAAGTTGTCGTCATCGAGCACACTGGGTGGCATGGAGTAAGCTGGTGTCTCAATGAAGGTCACCTTCTTGCTTTCCACTACGTTGCGGGTTGCAGGATCGTAGATCCGGTACACAGGTAGCCAGTGGGCACGATTGTACGGGGGCGTTGTGTAACCTCCGGCCAAGAAGGGGTTGTTACATGGGATAACGTGGGGGGTTACAGGTCGAGCGGGCGGGCATAACGTGCCGGGTTTTGCGCGGATTGGTGTGAAGGAGGAGAAAAGAAAAATATATGTGTGAGCTTTCCCCTCCCTTCCATTGTATTCCGGATGGGTGTGAAGGAGGAGAAAAGAAAAAAAAAAGGTATGAGCTTTCCCCTCCCTTCCATTGTATTCCACTCTACGGTAAGGTTAATCAAGCGATACATCGGCAGACAACTTTCCTCGCTTTCGAGATGACTAGCGCAGGAAGAACACAACGCGCGGGGGGGATTGAACCGAAAGATCTGGCGCCGATGACCCGCAGGCGAGACAGGTCCGCTTCCTTGCGGTACATCTTAAAGTACGGGGTGACGCCTCCCAGTGCCGAATGAGGTGACCGGTTGGAAAGGTACACTGCCGTCATCATAAGTTCCCCGCACAGGGTAGGCGGAAAGGCTCCATTCTTCATGAGACATCGGGTAATTGTCGTCAGGGTTTGCCCGTCTCGCTCGGACACGCCATTCTGCTGAGGCGTGTTGGTCGCGGCATATTCGATAGTGATGCCTGAGTCCATGCAGTACGTGGTGAACTCGTTGGCGACGTTTTCCCTTCCTCTGTCGCACCGAATGATCTCAATGCCGCGGCCTAGCGGAGCAGCCACCTGCATGTTGTAGGCGTGAAGCGCTCGAACGGTCTCTGATTTGGCCTTGAGCAGGTAGATTTCTTTTATCCGCGAGTATGCGTCGTTGAACATGGAAACGTACCCAAAGCCTCCCTTTGCGAGAGGGGTGGTTTTTCCCATGATGTCGGTGTACACCAGTAACATAGGTGCGGTCGTCTCGCGAGACGTCTTCTTCGGATGTGCTAGCTGCGTGCTCTTGCTGATGGCGCAGATGTCGCACGGCGTCATGGAGTCCGAGAAATCGACTTCATTTTCCTCCTTTTTACGTAGCAGTTTCATGCTCCGGAAGTTGAGATGTCCAAGCCGCCGGTGCGGAGTGTTCGCGTTCACTGTGGTTGCAAATGCGACCCCTACGTCATCATCAAGCATCACTGTGTCCGGCTTGACAAACGCCCGATCGTCGGAAAGTGCGTGAGATGTTGGTTTCGTGGATGCTGTCGTTTGCTTAGAGGCGGCTTGGAACTCTATGTCAAGAGAACACAACCATCACGCCTCTATGCGCGTGAACGAAGAACCCCAGTGCTCGACGAAAACCGCGGAACATACTCCATGGAGTACCAGCTATTGATTTATCGCTTACGTGACTACCGGCCGATTCAGATCCTTTCTCAGCTCCGATCACTTTGCGTGCCGAAATATCGCCGTTGTGCCTCGGCTGAGAGCAAAAAACATACGTAGAGACCAGCAGGGAGACAGAGGCAGCCCACCCCAAAAGCCCGCTTACCAGCAATGCGCACAGGACTCAAATGGTAAAATACTATTCACCCATGCCTAACCTCTCTGACGTGGGGCAGATATCCTTTCCAGATTCAAACGCAACATACCACCGGAGGGTACATACAGGTGCCGCATCCGCGTGGGAGAGCAGAGAAAGCGCACACTGGAGCCGATGCTAACGTACTGCCTTGGTGCTTGATGTTGTTGTGATTGCGATGCGTGTGGTTCCCAGTATTGGGAGTGAAGGGTGGTTCGTCTGCTGTGTGCGAAGTTTCGCTCAAAGGCTAGGGTTTTCGGGACTACAGCTCCGATCACAGCTCCGATCACAGCTCTCTATTTGTAGCACAGAATAGGCTAGTAAAACTGATCACGATTTTTATGCATTTTGTGCGATAGTGGATGATGGTCTCGATTCTTTGATGAGCGGGCCGTTTCTTTCGTCAATCTGGCGCTTCTGTGAGGCGGTTTCCCGTCAGCGTCTTTGCATCTTGCGCCGCTAGCATATGCACTTGCCGTATGTTTTGTCCAAGGATGAGGTGGAGAAGATGTGCTAACAGGTATAGCTTGCACAGGTACATCGTCTGTGCGGACGGTTGCTGTCGGACACAGGCATGCACACCTGCTCAGAAACTATTGCTGCTGTGCAGCCTATTTCTCTCCGCGTAGCTGCTACTGCTGTACAGCAGAAGCACCACTGTACTCCTGTGCGTCACGCTTAATATATCGCGTCCCCATCCCTGTGAGCCCCGCACATGGACCCACTGCTGCACCATCCTTGCCTCCGCGATTTATGGGTGTACACGCATGCTTGGAAGATTTTTGACCGCAGAGAGTAAGTTGTGGAAAAAAAAAAAGAAGAAATCAACTCAGTCACGTAAGGAGGCACCACCAGCACTGCTCCGCTCGCCACCCAAGGAGGAGCCTGGCATACTAAGTATGAAAGTCGGTGGTCCCTTACCGGCGATGTTCATTTCGGCGAAGGATCCTCCGGCTTCATGCAATCGCCCTCTTAGCGTCCTCTTGTCGGCAGACCCTTGCGCACCGGCAACATTTGGCTCACGACGCGGGGGAGTACCAGCGGGCGTCGGACCTCGTTGCTCTAGGGAAACTAGGGCCGCGATAGCCTCGTCCTCCCTGTCGTCATCCTTGTGTTCTTGACCACGCTTCGAGTGACGAGTCGTCGGGTGACGCGGAGGGAGTCCACGATCAGGTGAGGGTGTTTTCTTGGCAGACGCCCCCCTCGCAGCTCTGTTACCACTCCGCCCAAGCACGACCACCCCCGAACCTCCATGCCCGCGACGGTTGCGCAGTCCACTTACCGAACCTCCTCTAGCTGCAGATCGGTTGTAGCGCCTGGCATTGTCTCTGTGATCCAGTTCCCGGTCGGCGAGGTGTGGACAGCAGGACCGAAAAGCTTCTCCGACCACCAGCAGTTTGTGGTCGGAACCTTGTCAAACGACCGAAAATATTTGCCCACCGAAACCGAACAAAAAAGATTGAAAAGTCTAAGAGGGTAAATGAATCGTAGGAGCTCGCAAGAATGCTAAGTGTTCTGTCCGCCTACCGTTCCGCTGTACATTTTTTGCCGACATTCTCGCACGCAAATATGCTAGCCCCAACCCTTATCCTGCGGCAAGAACCCGAAGAGATCAACACCGTTTCCGGGTGCGTTTACACACCCTCGAGCTTCCGCCCGATACGTCTTCTCCCTCTCCTTGTCCTCCTCCTCCCTTTTGTCCCCTCCTTCCTCGTCTTCTTCCCCCTCCCCCCCTTGTCAGGAAAATCGTGCGTCGAGACCACCAGTAGTCGGACACGGGTTGACCTTTGAATACGATTGCAGCAACTAGTCTGCGTAGCAGTAGAAAAGAATCCATCTCTCCTTGGCATGTATTCTCTTGTTCTAGAAATATTCCGGAAGCATGCTAGGTCAAGGTTGACCGGGACATCTATGTAGAACGTGTGTAGCTTCTGGAAGCCTTCTGGAAACTTCTGGTTCCTCCTGAAGCTTCTGGAAGCCTTTCTGGAAACTTCTGGTTCCTTCTGTAAGCTTCTGGAAGCGTTCTAGATCTAGGTTGCAGTTGATACTCTTCTAGAACGTAGGAGGGCTTCCAGAAATCATTCTGGAAGCATTCTGAATCTTTCGTGTGATTGGCTTATTTGTCCGGTATTCGAGAAGAGTGGTGCAGCCCTAAGCTCGCCCACCCCTCTCACTCCTCTTCAGTACCAGCAACATTTGACTCGGGAGTCAGCAACTAATAAAAGCATCTTCATATTTCCATTCCAAGTCTCTCGCGGTTGGAGACGCACAGAGTGTGAACCTCTGAGGTAGGCTACACAGCCTCCTAGCATCTGCAGCATCGTACTGCTGCTAGTGCACAGCGAAATATCTCTGACACCCCTCCCTTTTCCTCACTGCTCTCTCCCTCTCCGAGTTTACTTCTTCTACTGTGAACTATTAGTCTATCTATGGGCTTGTCTTACGCCGCAACAATGTAGCTGCTGCTGCTGGGCATGGGTGTGCAGTTGCTTTCGTCCCTTACGCTGCTGGAAGCGGGCAACGGGCTCTAAACATCGCTCATGGCTCTTCTTACGATGTGTGTGTCTTATTGTTGTGTTGTTATTGTTGTTGTTGTTGTTGTTGTTGTTGTTGTTGTTGTTGTTGTTGTTGTTGTTGTTGTTGTTGTTGTTTTCTTCACATTACCTCGTGTCAGTTGCTAATCCCAAAATCTAGCAAGACTCGGTCCGTGGGCACAAAAATGCTAGAGTCATCAGAAGATCTAAAGAACAGGCACACTAATAGCAAGAAAAGGGTACATTAGCCGGAGGAGGTACACCTACAATCCCTGCAGCACGTTTACGTACTCACAACAACTGATTTACACGCCCACACACTACAATTCGACTACTGCAGCAGCATCACCCCCCATGTCCCGCACTTTACCGAAATGAATGTTTGTCGACTACAGCTGTAACAGCGTACTACTGTATGAAATGAAGTGCTGTCTGTACAATAAAATGGTACACAAGCTCGGGGCATGCAGCAGCTGTCTGGAGTGCTGTCAGGTTGCGTCCGTGGACATACCATGAAGAAGAACAAGTGACCAAAGCCATCATTGCAATTGACAATCACCCGGATCTATCCAGCTAATCTGTGCTACAGATGGCGCCCGCACTTAAGAACCTCCAGTTCGGCCGAGGCTGGGGTTCTTATATTGCCGATCATCCCCCCGTGGGCTACAACTCCCCACTATGTAGGTTTAAGTGTAGGCGTTCTTAACTGGGCTCACAAATGGTGCTCAAGTTCTTTGCTTCTGATTTTTTTCGAGTCTCAATTACTGAACTGCCAAGTTCTGAAGTGCGGGCGCTATCTGTAGCCACAGCAGTGAAAACATCGACACTGACTAGGAATCGTTCCACATTGAAGGGGTCTTCCACGATGCAGGTACACAATTAAGGCGCCCGGGTTATCCGTGCCATCTCTGTCGCGTCTCTCTACAAAACCAGTGACGTCATCACACGCACCAAACACCTATACTCAGAAAAAATCGCAAAATAATTGACAACACAAGAGATGTTTGTCCGTGGGCCACGGTTCGATGCCGTCCGCCTGCTCCGGTTCCGCTGCTCCGGTTCCCCTACTCCGGTGCCTCTGCTCCGATGCCGCTGCTCCGATGCCGCTGCTCCGATGCCGCTGCTCCGGCGCCGCTGTTCTGGTGTCGCCGTGGCTAGTCATAGGACGACCGAACTCGACCGGCTCCGTCCGCACACGCTCTCGTTGCTGTCCCTCCCAGTCGGTTCCTCGCTCTCTCCCTCGCTGCACTCAGGTTTCTTGATCGGAAAATTCTCGCGCCGAAGGGTCAACCAGCCCAATCAGCTCGTCACCACCTGTCCCCTTCTCTTTTGATGGCAAAACCAGGTTACTGAGACAGTACCGCTCCCTCTTGCAAACATAGGACCGTGTACAGAGTGCCCGTCCACCTTTCTTTCTGATGGCGTCTGCCTCCGTGCACGAAGATGAGATGGGCATTACTGCCTACACCGACGACCATGGAGGCCCGCGCATCTGCGCCTTAATACCTGACGCACCAGTGCCGACCCAACTCCACCACTACGCACGCCTTGATCGATAACTCTGGTGGCCCAGTTCTATGTGCTTGGAGTTTAGAGCGGGTGGACCATGACGGGGCTTGGATGGGTAAAAACGTGTTGGGAAACGTTGTATACGTGTTGTAATAATCGGGGGCGTGCTTGAGCTCGTCATTCCATCACGGCATCAAGTCACGCAGAACGCTCAAACACCCAAAACGAATCTTCATGAATCTCCTCCAATCTACCACACTCCCAAGGAAAACATAAAGAAACTTCTTGTTCCTCCGTAGTTCGTCACTGCAATACCCGCATATGTATACGCAATATACCACCCACATGCTATGCTACGAGTATATCGAATACGCCTCGCGGCGGGTGCGCCGCAGCAAGAAGGTATCGGTCCCTTGAGGATGAATCTAGCCGTGCTCGCTAGAAAGACCCCCCCCCTCGCTTTGTGTCACGCCTAAGCAAAACCTTGCCGAGGCAGCAAGGGGAAGAAGAGAGTACTGTAATCGGCCGCCGTTGGGCTAAAATACTACAACGAGAGATTCCGAAGCAAACGCTCACCGCAGGACTTGACTCACCAAGTACAGGGTAGAGGGAGGTAAACAGCGGGAGCGCTGCGGTGACTCGTCCTCGATCCGCCGAAACGACCGCTCTTCTTCTTGTTGCGTGTTTGAGGCGGTTTGGGGATATTTTTGTTGCACGGTGATGATGGTGTTCACCATGTCGAAATCCATCCGTTTTGTTGCCCTCTTTCTCTACAGTAGACGTAGATGGTGGGCTGCTGTGAGTGGTCGACCGCGGTATACCCTGTATCGTCTTCTGAAACAGAGAGGAGAGAGCCGAGCAGAGAGCAGAGAGCAGCAGGTTTAGGTGACACGGTGACATGGTGACATCTGCAGCATGCTTCCCTTCAGTTTTTGTCGGGGCGGCCGGACTGCTGACTTCCGCCAACCAACACTCACCGCACTCCGCACCCAGATACTCGATCGCACGGTACCCATGCTGTACTCCGAGTTTTCTAGGAAATACAAGTACATAGTCCGGCCGCGGGCCGCGGGGGGCTATAGGCCCCCGCAGCCTCAGCCCATAGTCATGCGCACTTTTTTTTTGCTCGAAGGCTGCATGTGAAGCGATGGTTTGGTGGGTTCCAAATACAGTAAAGATAGCGCCCGCACTTGAGAACTTCGCAGTTAACAAATTGAGACTCGCAACAAATCAGAAGCAAAGAACTTGAGCACCATTTGTGAATTCGGTTAAGAATCTACACTAGAACCTTAATAGCGGCCATTTGTAGCCCACAAAAGGGAGATCAGCGAAAAAATAAGTACCCCAGCCTCGGCCGAAACTAGAGGTTCTTAAGGGAGCACGGGGGATCGCAGTTTTTCTCTGACAAATACAGCTGATTTCGACGAAAAATATGCTTAGGGCCGTTTTAAACACTCCAAACTTTTGTTCCATAAACTCCGAACTTTTGTTACAAAAGTTTGGAAGCAAAAAGAATCATTTCAAATGATGTGACTTGCTGTGATGTGGAGTTGTTCCAAAAAGAAAGCGCCGCGCGTGACACACGCAGCAACACGCAAGCGATATACCACACAAAGCCCACATATCGACACCATGGACAACAGCGTGGAGACCATGACATCCCTGCGTGGTCGTCACACCAAAGTCGCGACGAAACACCAGCACAACGGGTCTCGCGGGGCTGCTGTCGGCGGTGGCGGCTTGTTGTCCAGCACCCCGAACCCTCTGCCTGGCTTCAAGGGGATCGTTCTTTCGAAGACGGGAGGCGCTTCCGGCACCAACACGCAGAGCGAGGGTGTAGCTGGGGGGGCCCGGTCAAGTGGCGCCCACTGCTTCTGCGCAGCAGAGAACGGGTACAAGAAGCGCGGCGGACCATCGTTCTCATGAATTGGATGCCATCCTCCAGGACGCACGTTTCAATGCTACGTCCGACGGAGGGTCCATCCGTGTCGGCTCATGAAGCAGCAACTCAGGGAACAGCGACAGCGAGTCAGAGGACGATGACCGTGGCCGACAACACGGCAGGGGAGCAGACGGAGCTGACCGAGGCAGCTCAAGCGGAGCTGGCAGCAGCGCGGCGGTCGAGTCGGTGGCAAGGACCATGCGTCAGNTTGGATGCCATCCTCCAGGACGCACGTTTCAATGCTACGTCCGACGGAGGGTCCATCCGTGTCGGCTCATGAAGCAGCAACTCAGGGAACAGCGACAGCGAGTCAGAGGACGATGACCGTGGCCGACAACACGGCAGGGGAGCAGACGGAGCTGACCGAGGCAGCTCAAGCGGAGCTGGCAGCAGCGCGGCGGTCGAGTCGGTGGCAAGGACCATGCGTCAGCTTCAAAGCTCGCTGAATCGCAACCGCAACAAGAGCTACAACAAGTGGTCGGCTTTCCTGCTGAGGGAAGCCTGCGCACTGCGGAGGCTCAGCGGCTACTCGAGGTCAAAGGACACCGACAAGATGGCAGCGGGGTTGACGCAGCTCGGCATCGTCATGAGCAGGAGCAGTCCGTATCTCGCTGACGTGGAGGACGAGGCAACAGGTGAAGACCCAATGATCACCAGACAATGCTCGTGGTAGTGTTGCCACGAGCCTGTTCTTTCAAGGCTTGCATGGGACCTGGGTAGCTCCGTTGAAATGTGTTGCTTTTCATACGTTCGTGATTTTGCGGTGTTGCCTTCGAGAGAAAAAGCGTGCTGTGTTTCGACAGCGGGGAGCAACCGCACAACATATTTATTTTTGGACGATACAATCCCAGCAGTTTTTCTACCTTCGTGGCGTGAGAGAAAAAAAGGGAGGAGGCGATGCCTTGTGGATCCGATCCAGGCACGGCATGTGTCGTACCAATTTCTAGGAGTCGCAAGCAGTCGAGGAAGTGAGATAGGGTAGATGCTCTGCGAACAAGCAGTCCTGACACGGAAGCGCAGCGTCCAACCCTACCGTAAGGGTCAAATGCTGCAAAAGCAAGGAAGCCCTCGCCGGCCAGGTTTTCGGCGAGCTTGTGCCGAGAAATGCATAGGGGTGGAAAATGTATGAACAACCTCCGACACGGTCCTGCCCATCCCCCGCTCGTTGGCGCTGATGGTATTGTCAGGTGGGACGCCACCATCGAAGCCGCCAGCATCTAGCGCGGAGGCGCAACGACTTCCTCAAGACCTCATCACAGCGGTACGCGCTGCAATCCGGAGTGGGCTCAACCCCGAGTCGAACAAGATGTACGACTGTGATGGCTCAAAAACTGTGGCGTCCTGCAGCAGCGGAGGTGGCGGTGCTGCTGTAGCTCGTAGACTTTGTAGTCTACCACAGAGGTTACACTGCTGTCACCGCTCTATCACAGAGGTTGGTCTACACTGCTGTGAGATCCGTAGGCCCGAGCGAGCTTTGGAACGAGAAATGTAGATAGATGTTCTTATCAACTGACTCCCTGGTCAGGCTTTGATGGGTGCTAGATGAGAGTGAGCACAAGGGGCGAAGGCGCGCTTGTGTCTCATCTCAACAACAAAACAAAAACAAACTGTGAGCAATACACTCGTCCAAAACATTCAACCATACTATGCGATCTTGTGTTTAATTTNCGATTCCCAATCCATATCAAAGAAGATCGACCTCCACATGAGTGAATCCATCCTGTGAGCAATACACGCGTCCAAAACATTCAACCATATGCGATCTTGTGCTTAATATCTTCTAGCACTTGTAGTCCTTGATGAGTTGCATGATGGTGGCGAATCGCTGCTTCGGGAGATGTTTCGTCGCGATGTCCGCCAACATCGTGGCACTAGGTTGGTGGTGAAGAGTGATCCGGTGCCCCTTCGTGAGTTCCCTGAGGAAGAAGAACCGGAGCGCGATGTGCTTGGTTCTAGAGCTGAACATCACGTTGCTGGCCACAGTCAATGCTCCGGTGCTGTCGCTGTTGAGGGGTGCCGATCGAAAGTTCTTGAATCCGAGTTTCGTCATGAAGTTGGAGATGTAGACTGCCTCGCGAGCACTGAAGCTCAGCGCTTGAAGTTCGACCCCCACGGTGTTCTGTGCTGCGAGAGTCTGTGCCTTGACTCCGTAGCTGATTAGTCCCCCTCCAAGGAAGAAAAGGCGTCCGGTTGTAGACCTGCCGTTGTCTGGGTTGGCTCCCAATGACGAGTCAGCGAAGCACGAGGGTCTGAACTGCGCCTTCTTGTACACGATCGGCAGGTCTGGCGTTCCGCGTAGGTACCGTAGTAGGTGCTTGGCCGCAGCCATGTGGACCTGTGCTGGGTTTGCGCATGCCCGTGTCAGTTGGTGCACTGCGTATGACAGATCGTAGCGGGTGCATTNTTGTGGCTGCTCGGTTGATAGCTCTGCTCCATACCCGGGGGTGCTGACCAGGTTTGCCTGTTCCATTCCGTATCACTGTTGGATATCTCTCGCGTAGGGTCCTTGCGATGTCCTGGATGGCGTCGTAGTCCGCGAGTTGTATTGTTGTCATCTCCCCCAGCAGCAAAGTAGTCGTCGGAATCCGTGCCCGCGTTGTTTTGGCGAAGTTCTGCATGTTGCGCATTTCGTGCAGTAGGAGCTTTGATTGTGTTCCGTAGTCCACTTTGTTGTCTTCGTCGCCCGTAGAGGTACGGCGTCCGAGCAATGACGTGAAGTTCATCACGTCCTGTTCATATCCGAGACGGTCGTCCCACCGGTGAGGGGGGATGGTGTTGGGTGGAGTCTCGATGAAAGTCACGTTCCGGCTCTCGTAGACCTTGTCTTGCTGTCAGGTCCGTAACCGCAGAGCTTGCCTTCAAAGACCCGGTCGCCTAGCTTCTTCTTGTATCGCTCATGATGAACGAACGCGCGGGCGCCGATGGCACGAAGTCGAGAAAGGTCCGGGGTTGTGTTGTACATCTTGGAAAACGGCGTGGCTCCCCCTAGCTCCGCGTGTGGGGTCCTGTTGGTCAGGTATGCTGCAGTCATCATGAGCTCCCCCCACATGTGTTTTGGGAAGTCTCCATCGCGCAGGAGAGCTCGAGTCACAGCCGCAAGTGTTTGGCCATCCCTTTCTGACTCTCCGATTTCTTGGGGCGTGTTGGTCGCGGCGAATTCCAGCCTGATCGCAGACTCCCTACAGTAGTTGCGCATTGCTTCCCCAGTGTTCTCTCACCCTTTGTCACAGCGTAGAACCTCGATGCGGTAGCCTTCAGATGCTACTTGCATGTTGTAGGCGTGCAGAGCTTGCGTGGTTTCGGTCCTGTCGCGCAGTAGGTACACTTCCCGCATTCTGGTAAAGACGTCGGTCGCTTTGGCGACATAGGAGTAGGTGCGTCCGTTGTACTTCGCAGGCGGGTCGATTGGTCCCATGTTGTCGAACTGGACGAGTTGGCCTGGTTTGGTCAGGACACGGCTGGTCTTCTTCGGGACGGGAGCCTTCTTGTGCTTCGTGATTTGGCAGTTGTCGCACGGGGATACAGGTCCGTCATATTTCACACCTGTGGCGGGGTTGCGCCGCAAAATCTCCATAGCACGTGGATTGATGTGGCCGAGGCGCCGGTGCCAGAGGTCGGCGCTCACGCTCATCGCCACTGAGCATGTCGCGTGCGGAGTGTGATCGATCTGTACCGCTTCTGGTTTTCCGAACTTCGGCTTGCGCCCTGGTTCTTGGTTGTTCGGGGGTGTCTTGCTTGTCGACGCTGGATCGCCCTTGAATGTGATGGCGAGGGTGCACATGCCTTGGTCTTGAGTCTCTTGTTTCAGAGGAACGACGACTTCTCCGCCGATGGTGAGGTGTGGGGTCTTGTCTTCCAGGACACATCGGAGGCCCTTCTTGAGAAGGGCCGTTGGTGCGAAGATGTTCCGGCCTAGTCCTGGCACGATGAGACCTTGTAGTTTGACGGGTAGTTGCTGTTCTTTGTCGTCTTCGATGGTGCAGTGTAGGATCCCAGTGGTAGTGCCTCGTAGTTGGCTTTCTCCTGCAACGTCGATGATCTTGGGCGTCGGGCGTTCTTCTTCGAGACGTCCATTCGGGATGAGGCGGTTGTCGAACATGGTCTCAGAAGCTCCAGAATCCACCAGCGCGGAAGTCCCAGTTGCAGTTGTCGTGAAAGTGCGTCCGCTTCCCTTGCTGCATGTAGCATGGTACATGAATCCACCCTTGAATGCATCTTCGTCGTAAGAGAAGTCGATCTCTGCCTTCTCGGTCTTCTCTGTTTCTTTGGGAATTTCTGTTGTGGTAGGCTTGGCGTGTATGTCTCTTGACTGGGTTGAGCAGTGCACGCAGTGTGTGCATGCAGAAAAGGCCTTGCCCGTGCGTTCTGGTCGCTTGGCTCCTTGGTTGTAACACTCTTCGTCGGAGTGTGTAGTGGTGTTATGGACGGAGCACCACTTGGTTGCTCCCGCAGGCTTCGTCTTCTTTGCCCTATGGCCCTCCCGCTGGCGATTGGGACAGTTCCTCCTGACATGTCCCGGTTCGTTGCACTCGAAGCAGATGGGGCCAGATGTCTTGGTAGCCATGGCGAATCCGCGGCCAGCGATTTGGCCCTTGGTTCTCTTGCGCATTTGCTCGTCAAGGAAGATGTTGCGCATGGTGGCTTGCATCTGTTGTACGTCGAATGATGGGTCGCGGAAAACCATCATCTTGATGTCCTTGTAGTCCTCGGAGAAACCTTGCACACAGATGTCCTTGAAGCGGCGATCGGAGATGGTTTCCCCCATTTTCTCTAGTTGAGAGCGGAGGCGGTGTTTCTTGTTGAAAAAATCGTCCGGGTTCTCTCCTGGCTCCATGACCGTCCTTTCCAGGTCGTCCAGTTCAGCCCTGATCGCTTCATCGGTCAGTCGATTGTAGTTGGCCTTCAGTTCCGCGAATGCTGCCTGTCCGTCGCCGCAAAGGCCGGTGTCGTCTTCGTGCTTGTGTACGGTTAGTGCAGCCGGCAGTTCGACGAGGCAGAATAGGATTGCGTAGAGGTCTTCGTTTGCTCTCTCGTATGCGGCGAAGGTGGTGTCCGAGGGATCAGGCCTGCGCATTCCCTTGAGAAGTGGCATGATGTCCCTCCGAGTAACGCCGACGACTACACCCAATTTCTTCATCCAGTCGTTGAAGTCCTCTGGTTTCGTTCCATCGAACTTGGGGAGTCCTCTGATGACGTTGGCCAGGTTTGTGGATCCATCACTCCAGATGCTGCCTCCACCTCTAGTTCCCGATATTGCTTCCATTTCTGGTTTTATCCTGATGATCTCGTCTTNACCGACGTCCACACCCAATTTCTTCATCCAGTCGTTGAAGTCCTCTGGTTTCGTTCCATCGAACT